GAAATTGTATTCGTACTAACAAATAACAAAACGCAATAAAGACATTGGAACAAGAAAATCCACTAATTTACAATCTCAGAACCCTTCAAATTCCAATCAAAATTCACTTATCTAATCAATGGACCGATGTAATAGAAATCACTGTTACCCTCGGCCTTTTCCAATAAGGGCCTTATTACGACAGGCCCCCTAATCCCCCATAAACTGACAGTGCAAGGCTAAAAGGTCCTACAGAAGGCGTGTTTATCAAGTAATTTCTGATACTGCCTCCATTTTATGAATAGGGGTGAGAGAGACCCTTACTAATATATCAAACAAAGATACTGTTTCCATAAACTATGTGCTAAAGGTTCCTCGTTTAAGATAAGGACAGTAACTTGTGATGCTGATGGCTGTTATTAGGGTTGGTGACTTTCAAAGCGAGCTATTGTTGCTACATATTGTAGATAGTAAATCAATTTAATTAGTTATGTTAATTTGTCAACAAGGAAAGGTGTTTTATGGAAGAAACACTACACATAGATAAAGTAAAGCCAAGGATACATCAGGGCACAAATATCCTGCGACACGTGTCGCCAGCGACGTTGGGTGGATTAGCCCAACGTTACCAAACATTGGTCGACATGTCTGGCAACATCAACGTCGCTGTGGACATATGGCGCGCGTTGTCGTCTTATAATATGTCGGGCGAAATCGGCAGGCTTCATTTGACATGTCACCGATACATGTCGTTGGGACATCTGTCCCCTAGTGTATTTGTCGCGGAGAACCTAACGGGTAACCGGGGCTCCGGCTCGACGTGCAGGAGAAGGAACGGGGTGGTTTTTAGTCAGTAAGAGTCTGACATTCCCTCCCGCCTCACCCAGGCGGGAGCAGCCATTCGATGATTTTGCCCCCTTAAAAAAAGTGTATTTGGCTTTAGTCTTGTGTGTTAATTTTGTGGTGGAAAAGGTAATTTTGAAGTTGCTTAGCATTCATAGAAACAGAAATTCACAATTTTTTTGCCATATTGCGGCAGACACAAATAACAAAGCACCACCTACTACGATCATCTTGACACCCTTCTTTACTTTCAATCACATCACATCAATAAAGAAAACTCAGCATCTACGGGTATTAAAATTATAACAAAGCCGTTTCATAGTTCATCTGTCAGCCCTACACAAAGCAGGTGGTCCCAGCTACCTTCAGAAGCAGGTATTAAACTAAGTCAAGTCGCAGGTGCTCGGTGCTCTGAATAAATTTACGTCTAGCTAAAAGCCTAGCTAAACTGCGGCCTCAAACTTGCATGTTTGAACAATCTGGATGGTGTGTAGATACGTAGGGTTAAACTTGAAATCCCAATTTGGTATTAAAATGGAGTTTCAGAGTAACTGTTCACTTTTATGGATTTTCTGTTGTTATTTGGAGAGCATGTTGTAAAAGTATAAGTGTCGACGACTATTTCATTTATCAGTCTTTAGATTTCAATCAGAATTGTGTACCTACTAGACGCGTCTTTTAAAAAATAGTACCGTAACTGGCCTGGTCATTCTCCTGAATAATATTTCGGAGAAAATGTAGCATGATGTTATAGTTACATTCATAACTATCAGTAGTGTTTTTACATGTCTTGGTTATGACTAGACCTTTGAGACCTTTGATCACGATTTAACTCGTTGAATACCGTCATTATAGACACAATTACAGAACAATAGGTTGCGGTCACCGGTGACCGCTCGATGTTTGACAGTTTAATAAATAACAGAGCATTTTTAAATATTCCAGTTATTTTTATATCCTTAAAAGCTTTAGTGGTTTACCCTTGAAAACCCACTATAATTGCTAGTAAATCTGCTAGGAACAATGGAGAAGTACTGTTTTTATTAGTTGTTATTTTCTCACAAGACACAAATAAAATATAGTTAGGTAGGTATAAAAATAATGACTCCACGTGACTTTTATTGTAATTACTTAAGTATGAACATAAATATAATATGTACAACTGTATTAGGTAACTTCATGCTAAAGATATTAATTTTTATCGGTTAATTTAATGACATGACAACATAATTATGTATTTTTTACTATTGTATAAAGTTGTTGTTTGGACGCGTTAATCTCACGAACTACTAGTCCGATTTCGATAATTATTTTTGAGTTGGATAGCCCATTTATCAAGGAAGGCTATAGGCTATAAAAAATCACGCTACGGTTAATAGGCGCCGAGTAGAGCGGGTGGAACCGCGCGAGTGTATCTAGCGTATTAGCTGCGAAGCAGATTGAGGTAGTTGACTAAGACGTGGAATTCTTTGCCAGTGTCTGTATTCCCTGAAGGGCGTATCCAAGGTCCGAGTAAATAGGTTGCTTATTAGCAGATAGTGCAGGTGAAACTTCGACCCACTTATATAAGAAAGAAATACACTTAACTGCATGTATGACTAACATTATTAACATGACGAAAACTGGAGAAGTAAGGATTGCGTGAACTTCTCGCGCCTGGGTGAGGCGGGCGGTAGTGTCAGACTCTTACTGACTAAAAACCACCCCGTTCCTACTCCAGCACTTCGAACCGGAGCCCTGGTAACCTTTTACTTTCTCCAAGGAATGTATTAGATGGAGCTCGTAATTGGCAGACGTCAAAGTGACGTTTCCATAAAATTGACGATTTTTTTAAGTCAGGAAAGCTATCGAAAGGAGATAAATTATAAAGCTGAAAATTACACCTCTGATTTAAAAACACGTAAATAATTAATACAGCTCTATGTCTTGCATTGTTGGCTTGTCTCTGTAATAAAATAATTTATTACTTTTACGTCATTGAACTAATTTAAAGTTTTTATCAAAAGAAAGTCAATAAAACGTCTTTGTACGAATGCTACATAACATTATATGTAACGGACTTTATATTCATTTATTTATTTATTCACACGTATTTTCTAAGAAATTATTCGCTATCAATAATGTCCTACAATAAAGTCATTACGAAAAGCAAATACCAATAATTAAGCGAAAGTTTTCTACGTCAAATAGATAAAAGTATTAAAATTCAGCGCATTTTCGATAGAAAAATACATTATAATGCATGATTTAAATTAATTTCAGAGTTTAATTTAAAATTCAGGTCGAAAAACGGATAATGTTTAGCTGATGCAATTAGAAGCGCAAATAGGTATCTTATATGTACAATATTTGCGTGTACAGAACCTGTATATTTTGTACATATTAAGGCTACGTAGGTGCATAAGTATTTCTAGGACGCAAGTCAATGAACTTACCCTGAGTTCGAAAGTATGAAGCCGAAAATATGAGTGCGAAAGTAGAAAGTTCGTTGCACGATGCATATAGGTTTTTAATGATCCTTCTACGAATTGTATAATTTATTAGTTGGTGCCTAAATACTAAAGATTATTTGAAATATGGTACAGTAAATGTAGACGTTTTTGTTTGAGTTGGAATCTTAAGAAAAAACTGCTGATTTATTCATGTGGTAATTAACACGTCTGGCATAACTTTACGCTTGTTAATCCCTCGTATATAAAGGCAGAGGTATGTCTTATGTTCAAATTGTGGCAAATATTGTGCAAGCAAACATTTTGGAATAGACTATCCCATGGTTTTATCAATGAAACCATAAATATATCGTAATCAACTTTACCCTCAAACAGTACTAAACATTTAAATGTTGGTGCCACTATTTCGTATAATATCGCGACTAAATTTGGTATTTTGGAACGACCACTAACTAACCACATAAACTACGATAGTTTTTTTTACTACATTTGATGGGGCGACGTTTGACCACTATCTCGCCTGGTGGTAAGCGGTCTACGATGGAGCACGTCGTCCTAAAGCAACCTATTCATTCCTTAATGATGTTACATTCATAACTTCAAAATGAAGCTTCCACGCAACAGCCAACGTTAAAAAAAACAGAAAATAATCACTCCGACTGTATGTATACGACATTCCACATAAGCTGGGTAATGCAGGAAATATCACAGTGAATACCCTCATTAGGGTTCCAACCGTTCACTTTTTGCCGGCTTTAGGCTTTAGGCAATGCCAAGTATTTCCTTTAGCTCCGTTTCTGTACTAAAGCCTACATTTACTCGAGCTATTTTGGGGGATTTTGGATCCTAAACGGGGACGATGAAAGGAAAATTGGTAGAACTGTGATATATCGGAGTAATTCACTTTTTTGTATATCGTCTAGCTTCTCTGTATTTATTTGTCATTCTTTGATTACTTCACAATATTTGGTAAATTTACTGATTTATGTAACATTATGAAATGCCCTTTTTTAGGTAAAGACGTAGCTACAATCGTAAATTAAGTAATCGTAACAGCGCTAGTGACTTTGAGGGTGTGTCTGTTAGGTACCTTAGGCCGGGCATGATACCTCAAATATCTAAATCTTACGTCAAACCAATCACAATATAAGACTATAAATAAAACGTTTCCTGGCAGACGTGAGAGTTAAAGTAACATCGAATAAAATCTTTCGATTCCAAGTAAGCATACCTGCCGTATTCTATAAAAATAGACATGTTTACAGCCCTTGCGGAACGTTTCGAGGAAAATGAACGTGGATTGGTAAACTAAATGTTCATCTCTCTAAAATAAATATAGTAATGGTTCTGTAAGTTCCAGAATAGGTAGACTAGTTTAGTTAATTATGTTCATGAAAACAGTTTTATGTACTATCGTGTTTTAGAAATTACGCCAGCATTTTGCAAAATGCCTATAACTAAAGATATAGTATCAAGTTCATCAATTCTTTTAAGAGTAAGGTAAACTTAGATATTAATCCCCATGGTCTGTACGAACAAGTATAGCTGCCCAAAGGAATGCATAGTACCTACTACCAATCTGTGGGATATCAATCACCCGAAAGTAGACCGTACATACATGGCAAACGTGTCCAACATCCAATGTGCATGTAAACTTCATGTCTTTACCCCAAACGCCTTTACTTAGTACCTACAAACAGATAATAAACAAATAGACATTCCACTTACCAAGCAGCAGCAGGATGAGCGGATTCTGGAACTGTTCTATGTACTTCTTCCATAATGGTTCCTGCTCCTTCACTTGGAACTCGTTGGGGCCAACAAAGTTCATACGATCGTTTGCTTCCCGCCATGAGAGGCCGCGGCGAACGTCCACTTTCAGACGTTCAGCCACCTGGGGAAGAAGAAAAAGAATTGTAATATATTATTATGTGTAGTAAACTTACTATACTTAAAACAGCTACCAGAACTGGACCAGGTCCATGAGGACCCAGTTATCAACAGACAGTGGCAATATAATCATCATCATCTTCATCTTCATCAGCCTCTAAATGGCCACAGTTGACCATAGGCCTATTCTCACACGGGGAAGGTTTGAGCATTAATCAACACGCTTGCTCAATGCGGGTTGGCGATTTCCAACTTACCTATTCTTAGAAATTATAAGCTTAGGTTTCCTCGCACTGTTTTCCTTCACCGTTTGTCAGTGGAAGTCGCAGTGGTATTTGCTTACTAGATTTCGAACCCTCACCCTCATGCATGAGAAGCGGGCTTCTTAAACTTAAAACTCCGGGCCACCACGACGTGGCTGGCGTACCTTACAATGGACCTCCTCTACATAATAAGATGGTTTACTATAACCAAAAAGCATGGTAGGTGGGTAAGAGACCACAGGTTTTAAAGGTTCACATATATAACAGAGCTATCCAGTCTCTGTCAAAGGTATATTGTGTAGTACCTTAAGTTGGCTCTTACGACAACAATACTAGGAGTGGTACATTTTCTACTTTGCTGTCACCACATCGCCTGTTCCGAATGAAGTCGGTTAATAAGAGGGTGTTAATGTGTACATAAATTCTCAACGAGACGTCTAAATAATCATAATAGAAGATACCGTTAAACATTAAGGTCCAAGGATATTTGAAGGTAACAAGATACTTATTGATCTTTTAGGAATTAATTATGCAAAGCTCAATATAGTTAAGATACCTACTTCGACAGATAGGTATACGATATTAAGGACGTCCAAAATGCCGTCGGCGTCCGAGACGCCCTAGACAGACAAATATCAAACAAAATGTGCAATATATTAGAGACGGGCCAAATTAACAGTACCCTTAACCGATGACAATCAAAGACAAAAACGTGATTGTATACTTTTAATCAAATTATAATAAGCATAGTTAATGACACGACGATAAAAAATCAGTTTACTAAATAAATGACATTCTATGGCCTTCTAGAAACGGCTCCATGATGGCCCAGTCTATCAGACAGTTTTCCATTTTATATTAAATAATTCTAGCAACAACAATAAACTTGGTATCCCTCGTCAGAGCCAATTAGTCTTAAGCCCGACACGTAACCTCGTTTTCATAGGACGAGACATCTATCTGTGCTTAGGGCTCGTACACAAAACTGCGATGCGAATTCGCAACGCAAAAAATCACGATGCGAATTGCTGTGATGCGATTTCGTGCGACAAGGCATCTCCCAGTCTGACCATTCCTTCGACGACCGTCAACTGTACTAAACGTATTTTAAATTAAAAACTAGGTCGTGACATGGATCGTAAAAAGAAGTGTGCACTTTTGTTATTGCTTAGGAGATACAGGTAAATGTAACAAAGAAGATTTTGTGAAGATAAGATTTTGATGCGCGTAGCGAATCAAATAGCAAACTTGTTCTTACGATGCGTAGAGGGAGCTCGCACATTTTGCGATGCGACGTCGCAGCGCAGTTTTGTGTACGAGCCCTTAGTAGGTATTACTTTATAACAGAAGTTAAAAAGGAAATACTAGAGGTTAAGTCATATTTTCACTTTAATTTATGTAACAGTATTTGCGTTGCTGGCGTTATTTATTAACGTAGGTATGCAATGTGAAAGATTGTCGAAAAGACTTCAATTTTTGTACTTTTCTCTCTGTCCTACCTAATCACTTCAGGGTCGATTTTTCAATTGTCAGTTAATTTGTATCCGTAGAATGAAATTTGTTATTTGACAGTTTTTAGTATGGAAGAATTGTCAAATATTCAAAGTTATTGTATCAGTTAAAATTTATCTGGCGTTGGAAAATCGACCCTTAGAATTGAATCCAAAAGCTCAAAATTCATCTATTACAGCTATTAAGTTTAAATAATACAAAGAAAGCTTAAATAATATCCAAAACGAAACCCGTTTTGTCAGTTAATTAATAATTTAGATTGATAACAATTTCTTAACTGTTTCGTAGACAAATTGAAAGTATTTATTTCAATTAGAGCAATTTAAACTTTAGAGAGTTCATTTTACAGTTGATGTCTGTCATTTAAATTAGTAATTTGAACATGATCTCTATAATGGGTATCGATGACATCTATGAAAAATACATTATTTTAGAAACAACTCATTCCCCTATCAGCTACCAATAACTATGTGTTACCATGTAGTTAAATTCTAGGCATAAGGAAAACAATAACAGGAAAAAACCGGCTACAAAATTATTTAGAACGATTCGAAGATACCTTTCACATACTTCCCAGACTTAATAAATCATTTGTCTAGACTTTCATACTACCCCACCTACATTCACTCAACAAACCAGAGCGAAAAAGGTTTCCGAAATAAATTGACCAATCAGTGAGGTGCGTCAAGTCTGATTTAATCTGTACGACCCATTCCAACCAATCACAAGTGATTTAGTCGCAAGACGTGACTACAGCCACCAATTACAAACGTAGATTGGTTTGAAGATAGTAATCTGGTAACAATTGAGTAATTAATTTGTTTAAATGATGATTAAGAGAATGATTTGGTCAAGTAGGAAAGGATTTTTATTCTAGGTACAGATAGAAAGTTATATCACGATAGCTTTTTTTTGGTATAGGAAAATCGGTAGACGAACAGACGGATCACTCGATGGTAAGCAATCAACATCGACCATTTTTTTTTTTAAGGGGGGAAAATCATCCAAGACTGCTCCCGCCTGGGTGAGGCGGGAGGGAGTGTCAGACTCTTACTGACTAAAAACCACCCCGTTCCTTCTCCTGCACGTCGAGCCGGAGCCCCGGTTACCCGTTAGGTTCTCCGCGACAACATCGACCATGGACACCGGCAACACGCCAGAAATACAACTGCATTGCCGGCATTTTAAAAATCGGGGATTTGGGCATTAGGGATGGGGGATTGCGCTTCTTATAACCTTATTCACACCTTTGTAAGAAAACAGGACTCTTAAAATATTGATATAAAGGTTTTAACACATAATACATATTATACTTAACACAACTTGTTCTAAAAATGTGGTACAAAGATTGTGATGATGGATGAGCTAATCTTGCTTATTCTTTGACACGAACTATTGAAGGCATACATTATTTATATTGATAAATGTTTGGCTTACAGAATCCACGCAGTACCTACCAACAAAATACGTTTTTCATAAGGAAAATATGTAAATATCGAAAGACCTGTACAGAATTAAACCAGCAACACCGAACATGTTGGTTCAATGCCTACGGCGCATTACCTACCTGATATTCTACCTAATATAATAAATGCGAAAGTACAATCGACAAAGTTAGCGGTCGACCAACAGTAGGCGATATTCGCATGCACTAGGCGCGAATGACCACAGAGAAAACACCCGGTGGATAGCGAGTTTACCACATGACTTTGTAAAAAGTAAACTTTGCCGATAGTACCTTTGCGTTCACTATATTTGTTATCTCTTTAATCTTTACCTACTCAGTACTCGACCAACAGTAGGTAGGTACATTTCGATTTTCAAAATCGCTGTAGGTACAGTGTATTACCTGAATCGGTTAACATGACAAGCGCCAGAAATATTTATTTCTTCAATTATTTAATTATCTTGTGTTGCATTTTTTTAAGAGGAAAATCATCCAGTGACTTCTCCCGCCTGGGTGAGGCGGCAACGAGTGTCAGACTCTTACTGACTAAAAACCACCCCGTTCCTTCTCCTGCACTTCGAGCCCGAGCCCCGGTTACCCGTTAAGTTCTCCGCAGCTTGTGTTGCATTTAAGGTGCTTGTCATGTTCGCCGATTTAGCTAAAATACGGTGTATACCAATTTTGAAAATCTAAATGTGTTCATCAACTTTTGATGCTCACCGTACCTACTTGAACTTTGCATTAATATAGTAGGAAGCACGGAGAAGGACATAAACTAACGTCCGAATACTGGAAGGGTACTCAATTTTAAATTGTATTTAAGTAAATATCATGCCATCTCTGTCATTTTAAATTTGTAGTGACAGAACTATATGTAAGCGCGAGTTAAAAATGAAGAAGACGAAAGCTGTAAGTAAAAGCTAGTATACTCTTGCAATACGAATCAATAATTTTCAAGGATGGTAATAATAACCTTGTCGCAAATGAAAAAAAGTACTTATAAAACTATCGATTAAGTAAATAAAAAATAAGTATATAGCTGATAAACTGTCTTTGGTATTTTTTGAATTTTTTTGTATTTATGAAAGTGACTTGACTCGATTTTCCTTATTCGTTGACTACAGGTAGAAATCAATGTTCATGCTAAAAAAAAGCATTAAAAATATTTTTTGAGGAAAACCTAGTGCCTTTATTTGAATCTACTTAAATGGAATCTGAAAAAAGAAAAAAAAATAAAACAGGAAAATACAGATATAACTTTAGAAAAACAGATAACTAAAAAGAAAACAATCAAAAACATAAGTAAATACTTCAAAGAGGTGCCAGAGTCATTAATAAAATCATAATTTACACACAAAACCACATAAATAACAATACCAAACATGAAACCACACGTACCACCTGGATATCTAGAACTAACCACATTTCACAGACTAACGGTGCCAGCACAGAAACACGAAGCTTCATTAGAAACGAAAACGCAAGTAAGTAATATATCTTGGAAGTCTTTGATCATTTCCCACGTTCTCACCTAATTACTCTTCAAACAGACGCTGAGGTACTAAAATCTTTAAGTACTGCTCCAAATACAGGCATAAATATAAGGAATATGTTATTAAGGTACGTTGCTAAAACAGGAATCGATTTTGAGTTACGTTTCGTGAATAATTTTGTCTGTAGCACTACTCTTCAAGCGAGTGTCCTAAGGGTGCGTCGATATCTGGCGAATGTGCTGCAAATGTGCAGCGCTCGAGCCGTTTGCGATATGCCCGCTGCAATACT